AACAAGCACAGGAAGTAGCTTTCTGCCGTGATGATAAATGTCATCTCTACAATCTTGGGAGAGTGACAGCGCATTGACAATGGTCGCTGTCAACTGTCACACATCCAGATCTATTCTTAAATTCATTGTGCATTCGAAGTGAGACAGTGAATAAATAATCCACACACACACATATTCAGAGAACGTTACCGATAAAATGTAAAAAGTGGCCTGGTCTAAATTGAAAGGTATAGTTGGCTAAAAATATTCAAGTTTTGTTATTTATTCACCCTGAACTTCAGTATCAGTGTCCTAGATTGCATATTTTCCATAAAATATTTAATTTTAGATTATTATAACTTTTTTTAAGTCAAACTTTTAATAAATTTCCCCTGGTTTTGTAAGTGTTGTTGTTATTTTAAAATGTCTTCATAGTTCTTATCCCCCCCCCCCTTAATTTCAGTCTTAATTTTAATTTAGTACTTTATTTTATTTCAAGTAAAAAAAATGTAATGACTGTAGTTTTAATTTTATTATGAGTTAATGATAATAACCCTAGTTCTGCCTGTATAAGTCATATACAGATACGGCTGTTGTGATCTCACAGAAGGTGGGTGTTGTAGACCCCCCTCTCTCTCTAGGTGTCTGAGCAGGTTTTGGCTGGAAATGCAGCGAGGGCGAGACAGAGGGTCAGTGCAGATGTAATTATGGGATGGATGGGTGGGGGCAGAAGTCGAGCAGAAGTCCATTGCTCAGCAGAATCGTGGCAAACAGCTCACTTGTCTTTCTGTGAACTCTGACCTCTTCCTGTTCCCCATCCCCCTCAAAACCTGCATGTGTTTTGCTGCATTGAAGGTGGAAAAAGTATGCAAGCAAATGTGTTTTGCTTTGCTCTTTGCTGACAATCCAAATTCTGCTAATAAATCTGCAAGGCTTATTCTAACATACTTTACATTTTTATTGTAGGATTTAGGCTACCTGAAATTATATTTTCTACCAAAGTTATACCTGCAAGTTTTTCAGGGGGTTGGGGTGTGTGTGTGTGTGTGTGTGTGTGTGTGTGTGTGTGTGTGTGTGTGTGTGTGTGTGTGTGCGTGTGCATGTGTGTGTGTGTGCATGTGTGTGCGTGTGCGTTTGTGCGTGCGTGCATGTGTGTCTTCCATTATAATGAAATTATAATGAAAACAATAAAAGGTATAAGAGCAATATCACATTCATAGTCATTCGATATTGTTCTATGTCAGCATGGCTGTGATTCGAACTTGGAACATGATGTAAAACTAGAAGTTTTGTTTCATTTTGATTTCATCATCATGGCCATCCTTATCTGCCACCGACCCCTTAATTAGGTTAAAATGAGGGTGGTTTATATTTGCAGCGCTAATAAGCAAAATTGGTGTGTTTGTTTCGTCAGTCTGTCGGCTCTGTTTCTTGGCAGTGAGATGTATTCAGCGTTAATGAGGATAAGTTGTTTATTCAGGAGAGCTGGATGTGAGAATGACACTGTCAAGGCAGTCGTGAGGTTTGACAGGAGATGATCTTCGATGTGGATGTGTGTGTGCAGAGCTTGATATTTTTCTTTATTTTTCAATTTAATTATGAAATTTTTTATACATCTCTATTTATGTATTTCCTCTGTAATGACTTAACTTTAAGATTTTTTTGTTGTTCATTTTTACAGAAATAAATTAATATTTTTTTTCGAAGAAGGTTTCAAGACTTTGAAATAAATAAATACATACATACTAGGGATCGATCGTCGTTTAAATTAACAATCAATTAATCTTTAAGCTTGATACTGCAAAATGCGTCTATTGCAGTGGCATATATTCACCAACATGACAGGATGTGCAAATGCCACTCAAAACGCCTGCTTCCTCACCCAAATTAAAGGGGGTTTTAGTCTAAATAAAGGCTAGTAGCAGGATTGTAAAATTAATAGATGTGATTATGATCATTTGATAAAATGAAGAGAGCGCGTTAGCGTATCATTTATCATTTTCATTAATCATCGTATCATAGTGGTATCATTTAACTTTTTTGGCTGTTTCATATCCCATCATGGAGACCGCTGAATGCACCTCTTTAAATGGTTTAATGGTGCTCGTTGTTGTATTTTAAAACACAATCGCAATGTTTGCAATTGGCATTATAGGCAATTAAGATAAAATAGGGATGCACCGAATGTTCGGCAACCGAAATTGTTTGGCCGAAAATAGGAAAAAAAATGCTCTATAATAAGTGAATAGACCGAATAAATTGTACCGAAATGGCCTCAAACGATTAGTAAATAAACTGCAGAACGTTATGTTTTCTAATACATGCACGGATTGCATTCAAACAGTGCTAGACGAGCTCACGGCACTGTCAGATTGGCAGATTTTTATCAAGAATGTCTCGATACATTTTTCCATCCATCCTTCCTTCAATTCTATGAATTTTGCCAGTGCTACACCGTGATGTGCAGTGCCATTTGACCTCCAAACATGGTGTTTATTATGGCATCCAAAGAGTACAAGTTTTGTCTCATCTGACCAGACTATATTCTCCCAGTATTTCAGAGGCTTGTCTAAATGTTGTGCAGCAAACTTTAAACGAGCTTCAACATGCTTTTTCTTCAGCAATAGAGCCTTGCATGGTGAGCGTGCATACAGGCCACGGCGGTTGAGTGCACTACTTATTGTACTTATTATTTTCTTTGAAACAATTGTACATGCTAATTCCAGGTCTTTCTGACGCTCTCCACAAGTGATCCTTGGCTCTTGGACAACTCTTCTGATAATTATTTTCACTCCTCTGTCAGAAATCTTGCGAGGAGCACCTGGTCGTGGCCGGTTTATGGTGAAATTATGATGTTTCCACGTCCGGGTTATGGGGGCAACAGTGCTCACTGGAGCATTCAGAAGTATAGAAATCCTTCTGTAATCAATGCCATCAGTATATGTTGCAACAATAAGGTTGCGAAGGTCTTGAGAAAGCTCTTTGCTTTTACCCATCATGAAATGTTTCTTGTGTGGCACATTGGTCATGAGACACCTTTTTATAGGCCATCAGTTGGGACTGAACCAACTAATATTAATTTCCACTGACAAGGGGCAAGATTGCTTTCTAATTACTGATAGATTTCAGTCTTGGCTTTCCATGCCTTTTTGCACCTCCCTTTCTTCATGTGTTCAATACTTTTCCCTGTGTCATTCAACTTTAATACACAGAACTTAATTTCTGAACTTATTTGTTTTGCTTTCTTTGTATGTATGAATTACCTGGATTGTTACCGACATCTGGTGAAAATGTAATGTCAACAGCACCTTTAGAAATATATTTACTGAGAAAAATGGTGATGTGTTCAATACTTATTTTACCCGTTGTATGTATGAGTCCCTCAATTGTATTCGGTGTTAAAAGATGGATTTCAAAATCATAGTCACTTTTGGAAAGGGTTCAAATATGCAGAAGATGCTAGAAAACCAGAAAGTTTTCTGAAGAACAGCAGGCAGTTGCACTGCTCAGGACCAACAAGGGACTCATGAACAACTATCATAAAACATAAAAAATTGTTGTGGATCATCCAGGAAACTACAAACAGTATTAAGACTCAAGGGTACGTAATCTTTTGAACGGGGTCATTTTCATAAATTCAGTTATTATTTTGTCTTGTGGAGTATATATAAACATCTGTTATGTGAAATAGCTTATTCGGGACACTACTAAATAAAAAATAACATTCAATTTTCATGATCCCTCTTATTTTGTTAAAATTAGCATTTTCCATATTCTGCAAGGGATATGTAAATGTATGAGCACAACTGTGTGTGTGTGTGTGTGTGTGTATATATATATATAGATAGGCTGTCAGTCAATTACATTTTATTATCTAATTACATGATGTGGCAATTAATTAATCTAATTCATTGCAAACAAAATTTGGTTGTGAAAATATCCACAAATATAATTTAAAGCTATTATTGTTTTAAATGAGAAAGTATTAACATAATGATTCAACGTAAAACTTTTTACACAGAAACGTTTAGGCTACAACAGTCTAACTTGAACTATAGAGCACAAAAGAAGATATTTTGAGAAATATCTCAGTATTTTTTGTTAATGCAATGAAAGTCATTGGTAACCAAAACAGCATTGCTACCAACAGTCTTTAAAATGCATGTTGAAGTCATTCAGGTTTGAAACGACATGAGGGTAAATAAATGATGACAGAATGTTAATTTAACTATCCCCTTAATTTTTTTTTTGTTATTATTATTTTATATTTAGTATAAATTCTCTAAATAAGAAACTAAAATCACCTCGGATTTAATAAAAAATATCTTAATTTGTATTCCGAAGATGAACTAAGGTGTTACGGGTTTGGAACAACATTTTTGCAGTAATTTATGACAGAATTTTCATTTTTGGGTGAACTATCCTTTTAATTATTATATGTAATTATATTATATAGGCTATTGGGAATATTCAATATATCACCCACAGCTCCCAACCAAAACCTGTCATGCGTGTGATGGTCAAAGAACGCCATCTTTGTCAGGAGGTGAATGAAGATGCCTATGTTTCTGCAGGGACACGTGGTCATGCATGTTACACACTCTACCCATCAGTAGCGTGTCTGTGTTGATTAAAGAGACATCCATAAATAAAGCTGCTGTTTCCTCTCAAACATAACACGCTCAGACATTGGGATGACAGCTGAGTAATTACCTCATGCTTACATGACAGCGTCGAGCACATGATGGCATGGACAGAGAAATTATTTATGGCTTTATTAGGGTGTTATGTCTTATGCCCGGCAGGCTGTCATCTGTGAACCATGTCTGCTGTCTGTGTGCGAGAAAGCTGTGAGGAGAATAAGTGTTATTGTTGTGCTGTGTCCGTCGAGTGGCTGTCATTTATTGTTTGGTCGCAATTTTACTGAAGAGAATATAATGATGCTTTAATTGTTTGTGATAGATGAATGGGGTGATTGACGTCAGGGTGGTGATTTATTGTACTGTTTTGGTTTTTAACAGAGACGGTACATCGCCACATGCAGCAGTATGAGGTGGAGTATTTGCAGTTTGCCTTCCGCTGGATGAACAACCTGCTTATGAGAGAACTTCCTCTGCGCTGCACCATTCGACTGTGGGACACTTGTCAGGTAAAAGAGACTCTCAACAGTCTCTGATGTGGTCAGTTACATAAATAGAATGTGCAGCTGTTTTTCAAAAATGGAAATTGTTGTCATTTACTCATCCTTAGCCACTGTGCACCTTTAGAAATAAAATAAAATAGTAATTGATATATTATCTCTCACAACTTTATTTCTTTAACTGTGGCATTGTTTACCCATTTAGAGCAATGCTTTATTTTTCACAGTTTGTCTTTATTTCTCATTTTAAACTTTATCACAGTTTGTATTTTTGTACTATTAGACGGAAACAGAATTCCATAGACGTTTGTCAAAATCCTGTCATTTATCGTAATCTGAAGATTTCCCGAACTAGTTGTAGGCTAGTGATCCACTGAAATACTTTAATGAATGGAGTATTTAAATGAATAAAGCCCCGTTCACACCAATAATGATAACTATAAAGATAACCATAAAGATAAAGGTATCTGCATCCACTCCAGCGGACGATATCGTCTGTTTATTCTCAGTGCATGCTCGTCTGCTGCTTTAAATTCTTGAGCTCGTTATAGCAGGATGGATTCTGATTGGCTGTCAATGTTTTTATCGTTCATCAGCTGGAAAAAAAAAACTTTCTGAAACTGATTCCAACGATATCGTTTCTCTGTGCCTTTATTATTCTAGCTGTGGTGTGGACTATGCTATTCTTTAATATTGGGAATGTTTTTTTAGATCTATATCTTTATCTTTTTTGTTACTGTCCTTGGTGTGAACTGGCCTTTACTCATTAAAATAATCGAACTCTTATGTAAATCAAATCTAAATGCAAAAACATGTTAACTGAAATCATGTTTCTTTTTTCTTCTCAATAACTATTGTTCTAATTGAAAAAACGTTCTTGGAACCTTTATAATCACAAAATGAAGTGTGGTTAGTTAATGTTATATATTAGTACTAACATTTTCTGTTCATAAAGTCTTTGAATATCTTTGAATATTGTGTTGGACAACAGAGGGCAAAGTTGAGAATCATTGTTGTAGATCACTTTTATGATACTTTTATGTGGCTTTTTTTTTGCATTTTGGAACTTGAACGTTAAATCCTCATTTACTTCAATTATATTGAAAAGAGGAGCCAGGATTTGTGTTCCACTGAGGAAAGAAAATCATAAGGCTGGACAAATATGGGCTTGAGTTAATAATTGCACAATAAATGACACCAGAACTATGTACCTGGTCTTATATAAGACAAAAAAAAATCTTATAATGATATATCACTATTACAATGACAGAATTAAAGGGGTCATATGATGCTGCTAAAAATAACATTATTTTGTGTATTTGGTGTAATGAAATGTGTTTACGCGGTTTAAAGTAAAAAAAACCCGTTTATGCCGTTTAAGGTAACAAAACCCACATTATTTTCCACATACTGTACATTATTGTTTCTCCTTTCTGAAACGCATCGATTTTTACAAAGCTCATCGGTCTGAAAAAGTGAGGTGTGCTGTGATTGGCCAGCTATCCAGTGTGTTGTGATTGGCCGAATACCTCAAGCGTGAGACGGAAATGTTACGCCCCTCACCATACTGTGATGCCGTGTCCCGGCCGGAGCGACGACACAAAAACATTAAAACCCATTACAAACGAGGCATTTGTTGCATCCAGTGGGGACATAATTACTGATTATAATGACTTATACTGTCTTAACAAACACCGTAAACAGCAACCGTTCGCGTGTCAGCACTTAATGCGCATATCCTATATGAAAAGCATTTTAGGGGGCCCTTGGCTTTTGGGGGCCCAAGGCTGTCGCCTACCTTTGCCTAATGGGTAAGTCCGCCCCTGGTCATACAGATGTTTTATGAAGCAAAACAAAAGTCAGGTTATTTTGTTTTTGCTTCAGATTTTGAAATTATATGGTCTAATATAAAACAAACAAAATACATGATTAAAATGCAGTGGTTGCCTCTAATTTCAAATGGCTATGAAAAATCAAGGTGCAACACAGAGCGAAGAATATGCAAATGTTATTTTATACAGTGGGGCAAAAAAGTATTTAGTCAGTCACCAATTGTGCAAGTTCTCCCACTTAAAAGGATGAGAGAGGCCTGTAATTTTCATCATAGGTATACCTCAGCTATGAGAGACAAAATGAGAAAAAAAGTCTAGAAAATCACATTGTAGGATTTTTAAAGAATTAATTGGTAAATTCCTCTGTAAAATAAGTATTTGGTCACCTACAAACAAGCAAGATTTCTGGCTCTCACAGACCTGTAACTTCTTCTTTAAGAGGCTCCTCTGTCCTCCACTGGTTACCTGTATTAATGGCATCTGTTTGAACTCGTTATCAGTATAAAAGACATCTGTCCACAACCTCAAACAGTCACACTCCAAACTCCACCATGGCCAAGACCAAAGAGCTGTCAAAGGACACCAGAAACAAAATTGTAGACCTGCACCAGGCTGGGAAGACTGAATCTGCAATAGGTTAGCAGCTTGGTGTGAAGAAATCAACTGTGGGAGCAATTATTAGAAAATGGAAGACATACAAGATCACTGATAATCTCCCTCGATCTGGGGCTCCATGCAAGATCTCACCCCGTGGGGTCAAAATTATCACAAGAACTGTGAGCAAAAATCCCAGAACCACACGGGGGGACCTAGTGAATGACCTGCAGAGAGCTGGGACCAAAGTAACAAAGGCTACCATCAGTAACACACTGCGCTGCCAGGGACTCAAATCCTGCAGTGCCAGATGTGTCCCCCTGCTTAAGCCAGTACATGTCCAGGCCTGTCTGAAGTTTGCTAGAGAGCATTTGGATGATCCAGAAGAGGATTGGGAGAATGTCATATGGTCAGATGAAACCAAAATATAACTTTTTGGTAAAAACTCAACTTGTCGTGTTTGGAGGAGAAAGAATGCTGAGTTGCATCCAAAGAACACCATACCTACTGTGAAGCATGGGGGTGGAAACATCATGCTTTGGGGCTGTTTTTCTGCAAAGGGACCAGGACGACTGATCCGTGTAAACGAAAGAATGAATGGGGCCATGTATCGTGAGATTTTGAGTGAAAACCTCCTTCCATCAGCAGGGGCATTGAAGATGAAATGTGGCTGGGTCTTTCAGCATGACAATGATCCCAAACACACCGCCCGGGCAACGAAGGAGTGGCTTCGTAAGAAGCATTTCAAGGTCCTGGAGTGGCCTAGCCAGTCTCCAGATCTCAACCCCATAGAAAATCTTTGGCGGGAGTTGAAAATCCGTGTTGCCCAGTGACAGCCCCAAAACATTACTGCTCTTGAGGAATGGGCCAAAATACCAGCAACTGTGTGTGAAAACCTTGTGAAGACTTACAGAAAATGTTTGACCTCTGTCATTGCCAACAAAGTGTATATAACAAAGTATTGAGATGAAATTTTGTTATTGACCAAATACTTATTTTCCACCATAATTTGCAAATAAATTCTTTAAAAATCCTACAATGTGATTTTCTGGATTTTTTTTTCTCATTTTGTCTCTCATAGTTGAGGTATACCTATGATGAAAATTACAGGCCTCTCTCATCTTTTTAAGTGGGAGAACTTGCACAATTGGTGGCTGACTAAATACTTTTTTCCCCACTGTATGTGGGGGCGTGTTCGAACGAGCCGTTTTAGGTAGGTGTGATTCTTAACTTTTATAAAGAATATCTCTTTGGATTTGAGACTTTAGTCTTTGCAAATTTACAGATCTTCTTTATGTGCCAAGAGCTTGTAACACTCCAAAGAGAAAGGAAAAAATGAAATCGCATCATATGACCCCTTTAAAGGTAGAAAGATTTCAATGCATCTACCATAGCATATACTATCAGCTTATATATGCAAGCATTTCTGAATGCAGTTGCTTCACATTTAGGTTTTTCTAGGTTTAGGCGACTCGTTTTTAACACGGAATCTTAAGAGGATGAAGCACAGCCAGGAGCCTCAGAGGTGTTACTGACATCTAACCCAACGCTTATGGAAGACTTCCAGACTGTTCTTGATGGTGTTCGGTCCAACGGGCTGCCATTTCTGAGTGAATGCAATGAGTCTGACATTTCTGTGCACTCAGCTCAAAATAGTGTGAAAATTATGCTTAATTCTTACTTTGAAGGAATTTTGAATTTCTGTCAAGGTAATTGTGATAAGCCATTACATGCTTCCTGTCAACAGCAGACACTTACTGTATTAAATGTCAGTTTCCTTTCATCTCTACAGGAAGAGGAAATGGCGGAAATGCTTTCAACAGCTGACTGCCCATTTGTTCTACTTGACTGATTAGGATTTTACACAGATTGTAACCATTGCCGATAGACAGTTTGCATGCTTTGTTTGCCATTTGTTACTCACTGGGGATGTGTCATTGGATACTTTCTGACAACACCAGCCTCGTTATTGATGCGTGTTGATGTGTATGTTAGCTCGGAGGGCACCACAAAAACACTCACTTGTTAGGCCAGTCACAAGTCAGTAAGACTAGGATATTGCTTAACATGCACTATTGATTGTTTCTTCCATTAAAGAGATGCTGGTAGGGTGCAGAGCAAATATGGTACATTAAAATGTTGTTGTTTTTTTGAAGTTCAACTACTTTTGATGGCTTATTTTCATTGGTGAAGGTCTCAGTTTTAGTCAGGTTATGATTGGAGGCACCCTGAGTTGCTTTCAGATATTGATTTTGCCAGCTGAGCAAATAGTGAAAGCAAGGGCAAGAGGAGATAACTGTGGCAGGATTTGCAGCAGCAACCCATGATTATTTTAGTGCTTTATTGATGCTTGAGGTCACTTTTACTTGTTTTTTTTTTCGACCGGGTTTCCACTGACTTGAGCCGAACAGTGATGTAACTGAGTTTCTACATAACCTGCCTACAAATGAACAACTCTGTTTTTTTATGACTATTACGGTAACACTTTATTTTAGGGTCTCTTAACTAGTTGCTTATTAGCATGCATATTACCAGAATATTAGCCATTTATTAGTAGTAATTAAGCACATATTAATGCCTTAG